GGGGGGGGGGGGGGGGGGAGGACAGTGGGTGTCTAAGGATTATGTGAGAAAAAAATAAGAAGACGTATCGACATTTTGCTCCTTGTAATTATTTTTTAAAGTTGCAATTGTTGATGTTTACGCTTCCATTGACACAATTTAGATCATTAAAGCGTTTAGAAGGCCTACTTCTTTGACTCTTTTTGTCGGGACCAACAAGAGACAAGAGGGATGGAACATTCTACAGACAGATATAGACACTCAAAAAAGCTCCTCCCCATACAAGAATCGAACTCACGTCTTCTGCATGAGACAATGAAATCACTAAACACTGCACCATGACGTGGTCCTTGTCGTCTAAAAACAATTTCAAAATTAGACGGAAGTAAACACGGGCGTCTGTTGTGTGGTGTAGTGGCTAGGCAGTTTGCCTTCGCATGCAGAAGACCTGAGTTCAACTCTATATTGGAGAACAAATTCTAATCAAGTATATCTCGGTCTTTCTGCTAAGATGCTGTATCCCACTCATCCTGGGTTTGCCCTGACAGACAGGGTCGAAGCTTGCCTTTTTAAATGACCTCAATCAAAAGTTTTGTCTATGGACCAGGGCGTAGAACATTTTACTTATTTTACCTATCCCATTGTCTTACTTTAGTCTTAGATGACTGTTGGGGCACCAAGTATGATAATGCAGCCACTTTTCTTCTGACCTCTCGGTTTTCAGCTTCCTGAAGGGATTTACCCAACTTTACACCTGTCCATTCCGTTATATTGTCTTCCAATCTCTTTTTCTGTCTGCCTTTCTCTCTCCCTACTTGCACAATGCCCTGTAGGATCATCTTTGAGTGAGTAAAACACAAAACTTAAAAGAAAGGATAATGTTATTTACTGAGCCAAACAAAAAATTGGGCAACTGGGAACCTGTCTCGTGTCGTACATGATGAAGCAAAAATTATAATCTCCCGGTTACGTGGTTAAACCATTACATGAATAAATTAATGTTGATTCGTTATGATAATGTTATTGGTTTACAAGGCGTTGCTGTTTCGTGTGGGTATGTTGTTCGTGCCGTAGATTATGCTGTTGTTGTTGTTGTTTTTATTGTTGTTGATGATAATGTTTATTATTGTTTTTGTTGTTGTTGTTGTTGATGATGATGATGTTTATTATTGTTTCATTATTGTTTTTGTTGTTTTTGTTGTTGCTGCCGTTGTGATTATTGACAATTTTGTAGATGTCGTCGATATCTATGTTGTGGTTGTTATTGTTGTTGTCGTGGTGGTGGTGGTGGTCTTGATGATGATGATGGTGGCTATGATGGTTATGGTGGTTGTGGTGATTGTGGCTGGGGTCGTGATGGTTATTGAAGTTCTGTCTTTCTCGCTCTTACCTACTGTCGTGGTTCGCCAGAATTGTGATGCAATCTGTTAGACTTTTGAGAGACATCTACGTAAGTAAGTGTTAGGGTTTATCACACCCCCCCCCCCCTTTTCAACACACGCAAGACAGAGTCTCCGAGTTTAACGTTTTCCTCCCCGACATGATGGAGCCAATGGGTTGAGAGCAGCGAACATTTCACAAAATAACCTGAGTTCAAGAACTCACCCTTCGGGATTCGAACAACCACTGCTCTCCGCTCCATAGCTCAACGTGACACCAACTAATCAAATGGAACGCCCAAGAGACTTCTATAGATGAAAGATTGGTAGGATTTGCTGTTTCGTGCTTCTGTTTTAGACAACTGGGGTGGTTGGAAGGTGTCAGTGGCTAGTGCGTACTATTTCGTCGCTGTGTCATGGACATAGAGATCTGTTTAACCCAGTGCTCATCGCTCCGCCTTTTTTTTCTTTTTTCTTTGAAAGTTCGTTACTCTCTAGTAAAACATAAAATCTTAGGCACTAATATGGCCTTGTTGTGCTGCAAGCGCCTCAAAACTCTCACTAAAACTAAACTAAACTTAAACAAAATCTAAAAAGCTCCTTTCAACAATTGTACACAAAGTTAAGAAGGACTTTTGAATTCACCCCCACCTACGATAGGACGCAGCCAAACTGTTAGAGAGTCTTAAAAAGTCAAAGTCCCAAACATCTAAAGTATAAACTCCCATTTAGGATTCGAACCAAGGTCATCCGAATTATAGGCCAGCATAATGCCTATTGAGCACTCAATCAGTAGACTCCCGGTTCTATTTCCAGGTCTTTTGTGGACGTGAGATTGTCAAATGAGCCATCATCATCTTCTGCGTATTTCTTGATGGTGTTACTGTTGATGATAGTGGTGTTGATGAAGGAGTTGTTGCTGTTGTTTTTGTTGTTGCTGTTGTTGTTGTTATTGTTGCTGCTGTTTTTGTTGTTGTTGTTGTTGTTGTTGTTGTTGTTGTTATTGTTAATATTGATGGTGGTGTTGGTGGTGGGGATGGCGATCGTGACGAAGAACCTGGCCGTGGCGTCGAGGGGTCTAGAGGTTGGGCTATTGTTTAGTTTTACTAAGAGTTTTACGGCACTTTAAGTTTGAGCCGAGTTTTGGGTAAAGGGTAATACATCAACGCAATAACAGTTATGTAGTGCAGGTAAGAAGCAAGACAGATAGACAGAAACAACAGAGGGGAAAAGAAAGGAAGCGTGTCGACGCAATAACAGTCACATGGTGCAGGTAAGAACCAAAACAGAAACAACAGAGGAAAAGTAAGTAAGTAGTACCTACCAGTGGCACCCTCCAACCATCCGTTTCCGACACTTGCAACACAATTTTATTATCACTAAGTCATAGGCCTACAATATGTGCCGAAAATTAGAGGTGCTACTAGTTAGTGAAGAAAAAAAAAGGAGGAAAGATAAGGACGATAAAAGTTTGATAGGGGAAAAAGAGCAAACCCAAACAGAGCATTCGCCACCCACCTACTTAGGCTGTTGGGCTCGCAACTGGAAGATCGTAGGTTCGACCCTTGTCAAGGGCTCGATATTGTGTCATTGGGAAATGCATTTCACATGGACGTTCCTCGCTTCTCCACTGATTTGTTTAAAATACGTACATGACAATTAAATC